ATAATAAGGTCCTGTGAGTCATCATGTTCTATACAGCGTATAGAATTTGACCAACGCTGGAGCATAGGAGGAGAGCGACTGGAGGGAGCGAGCTAGGAGCCAGCCAGGATCACAATTCGGGTAAGAATAACTTTATTATTATTGCTCCCTAAACAAAATGAGCAATTAACCCTTGCAGTGCAAGGGTAGCCCCACTGCAAGGGTTAAGATTTTAAAAGAAATGTAAACTTCTTACCACTCTATCCAAAACTGAAAAAAAAAAATTGACTGAAGTAAGGCTTTAATGGAGGAAACGGAGAGTTGCAATCCTTAATATGATTGACGTACGTCTACTGCCCTCTCTGCTGGATTCTACTGGCTTCATCCGTGAAGGAAAAAACAGATTTCCTCAAAGATGAGATTTAGGTTATTCAAACTGTCTTGCCCTAGCCGCCATTCTCTAGAAGCGCCCCCCCTCCCATGGAAAAGACCCAACCCCATGCCTGATATACTTTCTTCTACCTTACTATAAACATAATTGCTTCATAGCCCCGCCAAGAGTTATTCCAGCGCAGTTTCTGCTTGCAAGACGATCGCTTTGCAATAACGAAATAATGGATGTGGACTTTTCATCTCAGCCTCTCTAATATTCAAATGGATTTACCTGTAAACTCCCTTTTGATATTTGGAAGATTAGCTGGGCAAGAATAACTGATGTTTAACCTAGGAGCAAGCATACCTTGATTTGCATATATGTCAATCAAATTGGCAGACCCTGGCATCTGTAAAAAAAAATAAAAACGTATTAAAACGAATATCTGTAGGACACTCATTAATAAAGTACACAGTCGCTATGGAGAAAGGTATTTCATTGTTTATAGGGACTGCAGGGAATTGATAATCATTTTTGTTTTGAAGATGGTTAATAAATTCAGCGAAAACTCTCATCCGGGAACATAGGTCCAAATTTCTTAATCTGAAAAAAATTGTTCCTTAAAAAAAACAGTTATGGGAACAACAACTCTGTTGCTAGAGCTAAACTCCAGGCAGATTTTAAAAAAAGACACGGATTAATGCAGCTCTGTATTCATCAATCCATTATTAAATGTGTTTTTTTTGTAACGCGAGTAGTACAAGAACCAGAATATGACGTGGTATCGGCCTTTTGCAGTCCCTATGCAGCAGACCTCAAAGTGGGAGAGAGAGAAGCAGCACGAGGAGCCAGTCAGTTGTGTGGCAGTGCTTATGTCCTAACAAGTAACGTGCTCATACGAGGAGAAGGCAGAGTGACAGAGATGACACATGAATTTGCTGCTTTTTTTACTGACCGGTCGCCGGCTGGGGGAGGGAGAAAACCTATAAGTGTAACTCAATGGAGAACTATTTGGAGAATAAAATGTGCTCTTCCCAATATGTTGAGCCAGTGTGTGACACTGCAGCTGTCACACACTGGGTCAAAAACCACTGATCGCTCGGCTCACAGCTTCTTCCTGTGGAGAGCGGTGACTGTCATTCATCATTCCCCACAGGGATTGCCCACTCCCCTCTTTCTTTCAGTGGTCATTGGTAGGACAGACAGGGAAGGGGGTGGCCACAGCTGGCTCTGCCTCTAGAGAAGCAGAGCTAACTGTCAATCAGGCAGTGGTGTGGATCCCAACAATATTGTTGGGATCCTTTCCTGCTCCAGTGTGGCTCTGCGCTGCCATCATATAGCGGGCAGTAGCCCGCTATATGCTGACTTTGGGTCACAGGAGGACATTAGTAATTGTCCTCCTGTGACCCAAAAGAGGACTAAAGCAGAAAAAAGGTTTGGCTATAGTAATCTGTTAACTGCAACAGAGTAAAAATCAGGTCTATGCTGTATGGCAGAGCTATGTAAATATCAGGACTGGATAGCCACTTGCTGGATGCGTCTAGCACCTACTATAGGGGAAATCTGCATTGAAAGTAAGCCCTGAGAAGGAGGGACAAGTGGAGGGGTCATCCTTGAACAGGGTCCAAGTGTTGTTTGCACCTGCTGCAACCTTTATTCATATTATTTAGTTAATTTGTATGTCAAGCTGTTTGCCTGGAGTTCAGCTTCAAAGCACTGGGCAGCACATTGGCGTTGTGGTTAGCAATTCTTCCTGGGGGTCCCTGGTTCGTTTCCTCCAGTTATTCCAATTTCATCGCACACTCCAAATACATGCTGGTAGGTTAATTGGCTCCTGTATGTCTGTGCAATAGGGACCTACATATCGGTAATAAATAAAGGAAACGTGCCTTTGCTATGCTGACCTTGGAGGAATACTAATTTACTGGCTACCTCTGACTTCAATACTTGTCATTGACTTGGAATATTTATGTAACGAGAAAGGTCAAAGTCAACTCCTTTCCCAGGCCAGTGCTTCAGATTGGATTGAAATATCAGCAACAGCCACATAACCAGCATTTTCAGAAGCAGCGGTCAGCAACTGCAGACTCCGTATCCCCGTTGTGCAGGTTTCACAGAAAGTTTTAACATATAGATACATTTGTTTGCAGACGTGCGCATGTTGTAGATTATGATACCTTGAGGACAAATTCCGGTTAAATTCCATGCACATATAAAAGATACAGGTGAATGCAGCTCTATCATTAAGGTGATATTAACGTCAAAAGGGTTGTAAGCTATTTCACATGCTGATGAAATCACAATGGCTGCTGCTTCTTGGTGTTTAAAAGTTTTAGTTTCCTGCAGAATCAGCTGGTCCCCTGAGCACTGGTCCTGATATCTTGTTTTCCCTTGCAGTGTCCCATGGAGCCAACCTTGTGTGCAAGTAAGCTGTGTGTGTCTCCACAAACACACAGACACAGAAAGGTAAGCCTCACCACTTCCTTCCTGCCCCCCTCCTTCTCCAAACACGTAGATGGACGGCTGCTGGATACTGTGCTTACCCTTGTGATCTTCTACTGGACAGGAAGTACAGGGAAGCTGATCTGAGAGAACTGGAGCAAACTGTTTGGAACCATGATGATTGTAAGTGCTTGGACAATAAAGTAAATAAATACTTTGTATATTCATTAATAAGAAAGAGTTTGAGAGCTCATGCTAGGAGATGGTTAAGCATCACAAGGATCCAGTAATTGGAGCTCCAGTGTTCATGTGCTAAGAAGGAACATGATGATAGGAGGAGAGCAGAGTGGCAGAGAAATGGGATTATCAGCCTTCTGCTACCCTTTTTACTGTCCAGCCACAGGCTCAGGGAGGGACAACCCAGGTCATTTGTGGACGCTAATCTGTCATTACAACTGGGCGAAGTCAGCCGTGACGTCACGGCTGGCTCCACCCAGCTGGCATTTGTGGGACGAAAGGCCGGCCTTCAGCAGGACATTCGTCCCGCTTTGACTGTCACTTCGGCTCAGCTCGGCCTCCTTCCGCTGCTGTACGGGCTAAAATGAATAGCCCGTACAGCAGCTCTTCGGTTCTATGAAACCGAAGGGCATCGGCAGCCGAAGAGAGCCGAAGGATCAGCTGAAGCTATGGCTGGGTACTTCGGCTCCTTCGTGAATAGCCCCCTTAATTAATTTTAGCAGATCAGGCCTCCTACCCTGCCAGACAGGACTGTGCTGTGAGAAAGAGGTGTAAATCCCAAGACTGGATCGACTGCATTTTTCTTATACAGGGGTGGCCAACTCCATCCCTCCAGCTGTTCTTTAACTACAAATCCCAACATGCATCTGCTTCTGGGAGTTATGCCTGTAATTGTTTATGCCACTTTAAATCCACAGCTACTATAACCACTCCACTTGAGATGGTCCACCGATACCAAAATAAACATTAAAAATAAAAATCGGCATGTTAAAGACACCTGAAAGTTACTAGGATAGGTTGTAAAAACAAGGAAACAAGATTGAAAACTTCATCAATAAGGTCGGGAGATATGACTACAGCTGCCCAAACTGCACCCCAATGTACTGAAAATTATTACAGAAATAAAATAAAATAATAAAATGTAAAATGGCAAAAACTATGGATACAATAAATGAATAGAATCTACCATACCGTGCTTGCCATTTGCAAAGCAGGATCCATCATGAGCATTTCATCATTATAGCTAGACTCCAAGCTAATGATGTCATCAATTACATCATCCATCTGCAATTAAAAAAGAAATAATGTTATTATAAATACAGTTTATTAAATTCTTGTATTACATTGTTGGTGAATAATATTTAGGGGCTCATTTACTAAAGAAGCAATAAATATTTTACACCTAAAAAGTTATTTTCAATTAATTAATTAGGCGTAATAAAAAAAAAAGCGAGAGAAAAGATCCCTGAAGATGGCCATACATGTGGCAATTTTTATTTTAAACCCCTTTCCATTCACTGGAAATCAACATGATCACATGTAAATCACCAGAAACAAAGCAATCTGCCGCGCAAGAGTTCAGTCAATTATGAAGCCCAAAATGGGTAAAATTAATTGGAAAATTAAATTGAGAAAGGATTGCGGCAAGTTCGCGATCTCGTCTCTTTGGACCGTCCTTTTATGTGTTTGATTGTGTCGCAATTGGTAATGTAGGTTTGGCTGACCTATCAAATCGGCACATGTATGGTGAGCTGGAGCCTAACTTTGATCTAAGATTGGGGTATATTTATCAATGTCAGAGAACATCGGGCATTTCAGCCAGCAAAACCCAACTACCCCATCATCTAAAATGCACAAAAAAGTGTAACTGATAGCTTGAAGGCTGCTTCAATATGAGAATCAATGTATTTCCTAATGTCTGGTTTAGCAGGAGGCAGAAATCTAAAAAAGAAAAAGTTTGTGCATCATTTGTTTATTAAAATGCATGGGGGTTTGCTATTCTATGTCATTATTTCAACATCATTAACTAATTTATTTACATTTTATTTATTTATTATTTGTATTTTATTAGTTAATG